GGTTTTCGTCGCTTGGCAACGACGTTGTATAACATGCCAATTCGCTTCGTGAACTCGGCAACCAGGTCCGTTTTTTTTTTACCGCTGTTTTTTTTTTGGCGGTGACCATAATGGTGGTCGAGTAGATCATGTTGTGCGGGGTGGAGAACCCTCACTCCGCGCAAGGGGGATGATCGCACCACGTTGTGTTAAAATGGTCAAGCACCCTCGAGGCAGTTACACAGTGCTTACAACTGTCTCAGGAAGTGAAAGCACCAGAAAATCAATTGAGCCATACGCAGCTGTCATCCGTACGCAAGGAAGTAAGCACAGGATGCCGAACACCCTTAGCAGGATGCAGCGCACCCTTCATGCGACTCGCCGAATATCTCCCGGCGCTTCGCGCTAGGTGATGTGAGAGCCTGGTCCGGTGGGAACCCGGCGTGCTTCGTCCCGGCTTGGTAGGGATGCGAGGTCAATGGTCTAACGACTACGGCATGCACGACTATGAGTACACCCCCCTCCATCCCTCGCGCACACGCCACTCTCACGCAAGTCAAATCACACACTGCATCCCCAACATTCCGTCGGAGGCTTGAGTCATCATGGCCGAGAATGTTGGTGGTCTCCGCGTCTAGTCTACATGCGCCACGGCATCCATGGGTCAAAAGCGCGCTTGTACTGGTGGTTGCTGGTGGTTGTCTGAGCTGATCGTGCAGAGGCCACTACCTTCCACCACATGAACACGATTCTACCTCTTGTCTAGATGAAGAAAGTGCAGAATATACGCCCTCTTCCTCTCTTCTCTCCCGTCCGGCTCTTTTTATTAAGAGGAAATCTAGACTACGTCTGAAGATAATCATCTGGGATCCGGCGGCTCTTCTTTTGTCCCAGTTTCCCTGTTCACATCAGGGTGACAAGAGCGCGTTTTGGTGGTCTCCTGTGATTCCTGTGATCTTCTATGCTAGATAAATCAGCGAGCATTTTCGGCAGCATTGAAGCAGGGTGTACTGTTTAACGCCTTTTCTGTTTTTGTTCGTACGCAAGAAAATATCTTGGTCTCTACCACTACTACTGCTGTGTACACGCGCTACTCGATCCGTTCACGGATGTTGTTGTTGTCTCAACCCGTACCTTCCCACGGGCTGACCCAGATGCCTGTCGTGGTTTCAGGCCAACTACCCAAAAGGAGTTTAAGAATGAACAGCGTGTTCTTCCGTCCGTCCGCTGACCTGTGATCGATTGTAGACACACGAACATTATGTGGAGTCTCATGGCGAAATAAGTGCATGCCAATTGGGGGGCGTGCTAAGCTGCGTGCCCTC